TGAGTTCACTTTAGGTTATTGGCGTCCCTTATTCTAGCATGACCATCCTCGAGTTATTTCGACAATTGTAACACTGCAACTAAAATCGGCTAATTCACAACTTTTTCTGGGTGTCCTCAATGTACCCACAAAAACTTGTGAATTAGCCTATTAGTTACGAAATCTTAGCTAGAAGCTGTAGTTCTCGAGATCGTGTAAGACATCCTTACAATTTTAAAATGCCGTAACCTCTAAATGTAGTTTTTTTACGACTAAAAGGCATTTTCACCCGACTAGTCAGATTTCAAAAGCTCGACGTGGTCACGCAGGAGTAAATGCTATATTTGAAATAAAATAAAAGCCTTAAGAGCAACTAGTGACAATAAAAAAGATACTGGGTCTTCATATGAAGATATAGTAGGAATCAAGGTAGATTATTCTTGGACGTGGCGGAAAAGTAAAAATATCAATATTTAACAGGAATAAAAATATCAATATTTTTCAGATCGATAAATGAATGTAAGAAAACGATTCAGTATACGAATAATTAAATATATTTTTCGAATATAAATAGGTACATAACACATTATCGTATTGTTTACAATTAAAAACGAGTGATACACATCCATAATTTATGAAAAAAATATAGCTAAATTTTAATATAATACATCATATTTATTTTCAATTGTGATCCATGTTTGTTAATATAGTTAAAATAATATGATAAGGTCTTGTAATCAAAATTAATTTCATTTAAAACTAATGGCAATAACAAAAATTTCTAGTAAGTGTCTGTACTTGACAGCAGTACCAACTCCGTATCCATTCTAAACACAGACATATATCTAAATGTCTGTGATTCTAACGTGTTTACAGTGTGTAGTCAGAACACTTGTTGATTGCTGAACGATATACCTTTAAGTTTTGAGTGAACAAGCGTTATCAAAGCGAACATGCACCATCCGCATCTTCATTTTTCCCTTTTCGAAACGCGAACACCTGCCTAATTTAGGATGTATTTTTTCCTTAACGTAAGTCTTGATGCTTAAGCGTGCTAACAATGTCCCATAAGCACATGCTAATAAAAAATATATTTTTTTTAAATCACAGATTATAGATTCTCAGCACACAAAGGTACAATTGTAATGTATACCATACTACCTGCACACAATTATTTGGGAAATTATTTTTATTTATGTTTCCCAACGAGGTCTAATAGAATATTAAAGATTTTTAAGTAATAATCATTGACCTACCAGGTCAATGAGTGCATTTTGTTAAGTTTCCAGTAGATGCTGAATATAGTGTTTTTGGGCCCTTAAATTGTTGCAAGTAAAATTAGGCAGTACTGCAATGACGTTACAATTTAAATTAAATGTTTTAATTTCTTTCACATTTTGTTACGTTTGTATAGGTAGACTTCGGACATTTTTTTCATGGTTTTTGTATTAGACCCGACTTCCACTTCTTGTTGGTAGGTCAATGGTAATAATACACTTTTTATAAAACCTAAAACCAATACACCGCTATGTGCTGTGTACTGTAATAACGACTAATGTTATAGTGTATAATAATTATTCGATATTCTTAGACATTGCTTAAAATGATTACGTAAATATTATGACTTTACGTTTTCTTATAATCCAAGATTATTTTAGTGATAGATGAGATTTTTTGATAGCTTTATTTTGTTTACTATGACTGCAATGAAGACCTGTATTATAAAGCTAACTCAAAAACTTTTGAAAACGATAATTCACCATCAAAATTTACAATAGAGCCTATCTAAAGGCTTTTATTATCCACACAATAAAAATGATGGCTATAATCATACCGATCAGAATGAAAATGAACATTCTCTTGCGATATCTCCGTTGGTGTTCTTCTGCTTTACGCATTTCCTCTGTGCCGGACTGGACGTAAATGGCGGCGTCATGGATGCGATTTTCTACTGTGTCTGATACATAAAATACCGAAAATTCACTGATTGTTAAAAGCATAGATTATTCAATATTTTGAAGTAATAAAGAACAAGGCGAAATAAAATATATAAAATAAGCAAGTAATATTAATTAGCTTAATTGTCACACTTCAAGATGAGTTATTATGAGTTAATAACTTTAAAAATATTTTAAATTTTTATTGAATTGATATTCAATTATTTTTTGTGAAATTATTCCACTAGTTTGTTATAATTATTAATACAAAGATCTTCTGATTTTGAGATTTTTCTAAATGTTCGATCTTCGTATTAATAATTGTAACAAACTAGTGGAATAATTTCACAAAAAATAATTGTATATCAATTCAATAAAAATTTAAAATAAGTGAATAGCGCTCTCGCCAGGGCTGGTAACTGTAAAGATATCTAACTGGGCGATAAAACTTTCATAGATTTCTCATAGACGGCGCTACGACTAAAAAGTCGTTGAAAAAACCAAATACAAAGAAACGACGCAAGACATAGAAAAATTCGTGAGGTTCGCTGGTTCGTTCCATTGCTTAGTTGGTATAGCGTCTGACACGGTAAGCTAGAAAACGTCGGTTCGAATCCGGTCGGATCGAAGGATTTTTTCTGAGTGTTCGATCTTTGTATATAATACTATATAATGATATTATAATTTAAAAATATTCTTACCAACACTCTGCGCTTGTGCATTCACTAATTCCGCCAAGTCCTGCATGATTTGATTGACGTCTAAAACATCAGCTTCTATTTTATTTATATATGCTTCTTTTTCCAGCATCATGCTTGTCTCAAACTGGCCTAGACGAGTCTGTTATAAACAAGTAAAATATTTCATTATATACAATCACCCAATAGACAGGCTTGTATAGTGAGAATCAAATTGAGAAATATGAGAACAAAACAAACTCACTTGTGCTTGTTGGTTGGCAAACATAGAAGCATTTTCGTAATCAGCAATGGCTTGCTGTTCTAAGGCGTGTGGATCATTCTTCATTCTAACTTGCTTTGGAATGTGCGCTGCCATCTTTTCTGACACTTGCTATGCAAAAATGAACTCAAATCTATACAATATGTACACAATGTCTTACAAAATCAACTAATGGGTTTCTAGTGTAATAGCTTAAAAACAGGTGATATAGTGTACACATCAAAAACTAATTTTTTTATTAATATAAGCTACAGATATACAAAGACGTACATAATAACACCTTAGTTGTAGTTCAAAAAGTGCAAATATATAATTACATTTGCAAATCTTTTTGAATATTGATGGGACCTACCTTTTGCACTGAAGAATATTTAGCTAATGCATCTCTGAATGCTTGTGTAAGTCTTTCCACTTGTAACTTCTGGGGTTTGTCTCCACGTCGCACCATCACACCAAGACGTTGAATATCTCTTGCAGTTGCAGACACTGATCCATTTACAGTTTGTTGTGTTTCATGTCTAACAAAAAAAAAGGAAATAGAATATATTAATATATTATAAGAAATATATTATACTATATAAAAGATACATACATACTTATTGTAATAAGATTATATATTATACAGACATTTGAAATGCAATACATTTTAATAAAAATACATTTTAGTAAAAAATTTAATTCATATTGCAACACATGTCCCTGATACAATTCAATGTGTGATCCAGAATTGCCCGTGACCAAATTCCTGACCTACACAAGGGTAATGGTTTAACTTTAACATTACTATAATTTGAAATAAAATGTTAATTGCAGAACTTGCGTGTACTAAAAACTGTTAGAATAATGTTAGAACAAAAATGTTAAAACAACAAAGTGCAAAAATTTTATATTCTCACAATTATTAATCAACAGCATGTAAAATATTTATCCGTGTATATTTACATTTTATCCCTCAGCTGTATGTTGTCATTGGTTCCACCAATCTGTTTCATCATTTTCTCCAAAGACAGAAGACCACTGTTTATTGTGTTGACATTGTCAGCAATACCTTCACTCAAATTGTACAGTTCTGTAGGACTGAAGTCTGAGAAACCCACTGTGGGAGCTTCGGCTATTGCTCCATAGTCACGGCTTGAGCCACTAATCGGTTCACGCTCAGACATCTTAATGCTGTAATGAAAAAAAACTACCAAAACTTTCTGATTTTGCAAGTGAACTTATCATTCACATTTTAGCCACAGATATGGAAAATTAAATAACAGGGCCCCAAATCATTTGGTCACAGTGCATTATGATAGTGGGCCCCATACTGTGCCATGGCCAAGCCCCTGGTTGTAAATCTTTCAGTTATATCCATTAATTACCTCCTACTACATATTTTATAATATTTGAACTGATTCTATTAGTAACAAGGTTATTCTCTTAATAAAATTTATATATAGGAAATGAAAATATTGTTTCAGATCTGTCACAAATATTAGTTTTTTCAAACAAACTTATGTTTGAAGTGGATTTTTATACAAAATTTATACAAACATTGTAGCCCTAAGATACTCTTTAGAAAAGATACTTAGGGACGTATTCTAGAACTCTACTCAATGCTCAAGTCAGGATTTGAGCATTGAGTAGAGTTCTAAAATACAACCCTTAGGGTCGTATTCTAGAACTCTACTACATCAAACTAGTTAATTCACAGAGAAGACTTATTTGGTAAAATTATATAAGACTTATTTGGTTGTTGTGGCCGTAGTAATTAGCAGACGAGGAAAGTGATGTAAAACAAAGGGAAAGGAAACTCGTGGTCCACAGATATCTTGGTCTGTTGCACTCACATTACAACAATTTTGTGACAAAGGGAAGAAATCTCGTGGTCCACCGATATCTTGGTCAATTGCATTTACATTACGACAATTTTGTCTTTCGTCTTTATTCTAGAAATCATTGATGTAAACCATTAACAACACATTTACTGGCAGTTTTGAGATAGTTTGTCGTAATAGTAATTGCAGTGATTCACAAACTCGCTTAGAACATGACCAACAAAGTAAGAAAACATTGTGGATTCAGTCATCATATTCAGTGCCTTTTGTAAGCAAATATTATTACATATTGTACAGATAAAAGCTGCTAATGAAGAGATCGTGATCAAAACGATCGTGAACTTCTTGAAAAAGCAGGATGGCGATTTCGTAATTATGGAAAATTGGGAAACAATGAAAAACGCGACGCAATTGTTCAATACCTGATAGCTACGTGTCATAAATGCCTTTCAAATCAAACAGAAAACACAAGTGTATGACTTAATTTAAAGTTTTACCTTAAGAATTATGATCACAGGTTTGTAATTGCTTTTGAGTTATTTCCGTAATTTTGTAATTTGTTCGCTGCGCTGCACCGTCATTTATTTGATCCAACTCACTTCCATTACGAATGAGTCTCGATATGATATATATCGATATTTAAAAAAATATCGATATATGCCTTCGATATATCGAATCAATCCGATACTATCGTATCATTCGATATCGATATATTTTATCTGATACATGATAAATCGTACAAATTTGAAAGTACACAATTCAAAATTGTACTTGCAGAAACGAAACGCGCTTCGAGCGCTGATTGACTGATCATCCGTCAGGCAGTATGGTCTCTGACCTTCGCCAGTTCCAAACGGAACGAAGGAAAAAAAAATGGTCATCCGTCAGTGTAACGCTTAGAGGATGGAAATTAGTTTCCATAGTCTAAGGTGTAACGTAGTGGTTTTTTTTTTAATTTATTAAGGCTTTGGCAAAGCCATCAGCCTAAACATGAAGTTTAATTATGTTTCTGTAAATATGGCCGCCACAAAGAGGATAGGCAATTTGAAGCGGCGTGTTTGGATTGACTCGGGATTCCTTAGAACGGGCCGATACGGGTATTTTAGTTCGAGATTCGTATAATTTCGCGTTTTAATCTTCGATTAAGGCACAATAGCACTATCCTATTCCACTTTAAACTAGATTTCACAAAATAATTGAAAGTCAAAATAAAAACGACTCTTTTCCCTCCAAAAGGTCCAGAGCGAATCTAACGTAGTGGTTATATTCTCATTGGCTAGCCGCACACAGCTGCACACAACAATAATATTGCTTCTTTTTTTTATTAATAATAGGGGTTAAAGTATGAAATTGCCGATTTGTACTGAAAATCTAAATTGTTTATTTTTTAAATTTTTAACAAATTTATTTAATCAAAATAGTTGCCATTATTATCTATACATTGCTGCCATCTAATGGGAAGGTTATTAATGCCTTTGCGAGAGAACTCCGACGATCTAGACTGCACAAACTGTGTGAAAGCATTTTGTACTGCCTCCTGGGAAGAAAACTTCTTGTCACGTAGATAATTGTCCAAATCACGAAAAAAATGGTAGTCCGTTGGAGCAAGGTCTGGTGAATACGGAGGATGACGAATGGTTTCTAACTGCAGTTCCTGAAGGGTCAAAATGGTTTCTCGTGCTGTGTGAGGTCTCGCGTTGTCGTGGAGCAATAATGGTGAAGATCGATTCATGAGTCGGGGCTGTTTTACTGCTAGTTTTGTCAACATGGTTCGGAGTTCTGCACAATAGACATCTGCCGTTATTGCTTGACCAGATCGGAGAAAACTATAGTGAATAACACCATGCTGAGACCACCAAACAGTTACCATTACCTTTTTATTGGTAAGTTTTGCTTTAGGACACTGTTGTGGCATTTGATCTGGGGTCAGCCATTGCATTTTTCTTTTCCGGTTATCATAAAGAATCCACTTTTCATCACATGTTACAATTCGATCCAATATTCCTTCATTTCTGTACCGGTTCAACAAGGCAACACAAGTTTCAACACGCGTTTCTTTCTGCAGATCAGTCAAATCATGAGGCACCCATTTTTCGTATTTTTTTATTTTACTGATTTGACGCAAGTGAGTCAATATTGTGGGTAAGGTAACGTTAAACCATGCCGCTAATTCCTGGGTAGTTTGACTAGGATCGGCTTCCACTATCTCTCTTAATTCATCGTTATTCACCTGTGTGGGCGGTCTTCCTCGTGACTCGTTCTTTAAGTCGAAATTTCCATCACGAAAGCGTTTAAACCAAAATCGCACGGTGCGTTCATTAGTAGACCCCTCTCCAAACGCAGCATTGATATTGCGGGCTGTTTCTGCCGCGTTAGTTCCGCGTCGGAACTCGTATTCAAAAATCACTCGAATTTTCGCAGTATCCATCTTTCTTGTCTAAATTGAATAACAAAAACAATTAAAAGTCGATATTCAAATGTTTCAAATTTAAAAAAAAAAAATCACAGAAACTATTTGAAAAAAGTTTCATTCGAAAACCTCAAACCATGAAGATTCTATGAAAATTCAAAGAACCTATTGCAATAAAACGGCAATTTCATACTTTAACCCCTAATAGTTTTGGCTTGGATACAAGTCCTTAATTCTAATTCATTACGTTTTTACTTTCTCTTAAATAACTTAGTTCACTTATTTGGGTTTATTAAATAGTCTTTTAAGCGGCGGGAGTCAATATTTATGTTTTACTTTCACTTAAATCACATTATCTTCGGTCACTTTGAACAATAACTTTGGATTCGTAATTAATGGAATTTTCAGGATAAAATCTTTTGCAATTTGGTTTAAAATAAGGAATATAGTTCTAAGTTTCTTCATCACTATTTCTTTCTTCGTTTTTTCTTCATAATATACATAAAATAAAAATAATCTTTGTGAAAGTACTTACTTTACGTAGTAACTTCTAAAACCGCCATTTTTTTTTTTTTTTCTAATATTACTTGTGTGCGGGCGATATTGTTGTGTTGGGAACATACATAAACTTAAATTGTCAAATTTTTTTTTATAACATGAAGTGACGGGACGAACAGGTTGTGCGCCTGATGGTAAGCTACACGCCTATCCATAACAGTTACAGTGCCACTCAGTGTTTTATAATGAAAAGATCTGAGGGGCACTACCACTGCGCCCGTCACCCTGAGACATAACTTGACAAGTCCCATGTGCTTGTAATTCCACCAGCACCCTTACCTTTCAAAAGTACACAATAATGCTGACATTACTTATTGGCGGCAGAAATAGGTAAGTACTACTCTGGCAGTACTACCATGGACGAACTTTTCACAAGGAGCTCTACTGCTAAACAAAATATCACTAATATTGTATGTGTGCGGCTAGCCAATGAGAATTTGTGAATAAGAAATACATTTGATTATTGTGTCAAAACTTACTTACTTACTTACTTAAGTTTACTTATTTACTCTTGGTAAAATTTCCTTCGTTTTATCTATTAGAATTATTTACGATAATTATCGAAAATATCGATGTTTTGTACCGATATATCTACACATCAAGAGCTCATTCTCATTTTGGATATACTTACGAATCAAATTAGTAGCTCCTAATGAAAGAGTTCGTCCAGTCAAGAACTGTGCTACCTTAACTACTTCTGCCGCCAAGCAGTAATATGAGCATTACTGCGTTTCGGTTTTGAAGTGTAAGGGTGCTGGTGAAATAACAGGAATACGAGTCTTGTCAACTTGTCTCAAAGTGACAGTCGCAGTGGCAGTGCTCCTCAGACCTTTGCAAATTAAGGCTCTGAATGGCACTCCATTGGCTATGGATAGGCATATCAGGCGTACGACTTGTTCGTCCGGTCACTTGGTAGATATATTTATAATTTTGATGCATTTGGAATACGTCCATGACAATAAAAAATTGTACGAATTTTAAGATATTCAATGAAGAAATATAAAACCTTTTCATCACACTTGCTCGTAAATGGTATGATTGCGTGGTGGCTAACTTGAGTATAAAAGTCCCTGTGGCGGCTTTATTCTTTTATTTTTTTCCATCCTCTAAGCTTTAGACGCCGCCTATTATCACCGGCTGGCTGTGGCAGTCTCTTTGAACGAGAGTCGCCAAGGAGAGCGTCACACTTGCCGAAAATGTTTGACAATTTTACTTAAGTAAATTGTCATATCACCCATTGCAAATTGTTTGCCCGGTTGGATAAAAAGCTATTAGTAAAAACCACGAGACATTATAATTATATCGCCATTCACGAAGTTCACGAGGTCGTTTTATTATTCGTTAGGGCAGCGATAAATTCCCTAAATTGGTGACCCCGACGTGATTGACTGTGACTCGAACATTTGCGTGAAAAGTCCGACGATTTTGATTTTACATTTCTCAAGAAATAAAAGTTTACAAAAATTTCAAAATACAATGAAGAAGATGAAGTAATATAAGTTGAAGGCCTCATACTCCTTTCTAACGCTCGCTGGAGTTTCCATGGAGGATCGGCTCCGACATTTGGGTGATTGCGACTTGTGAGCAGTTACGTGCGAACGTGCGGTCTACGTTATCTACCAGTGGTCGCGACGAGTCACGCGCCCGTTGACTGTTTGGATTTTGCATTTATTGTATTTTATAACCTTTTTTTTCCGACTTGACTTCCTGCTGGTAAGTGTTTTTCTTTAATATTTTATCACTAACCCTATTACCCGAACTGAGGTGTGGCTGTCATGGACGAATTGAAGGCACAACTTGAGAAGCTCGCGGCTCAAAATGAGTTACCATTTCGACAGAACACTGAGCTCAAAGTTAGACTAGCGGATGAACCTACCCGCGCAGGCCCCTCCTCCTCCAGCAGGAAGGAGGTTCCAGCGGCATATGGTGTTCGCCCCAAATTAGCCCCATTTTGGTTTGACCGCCCAGCCGGATGGTTTGCTCACATAGAAGCTCATTCGCTTTATCAGCGATTACTCAGGACGAAACGAAGTACAGCTACGTGGTATCACAGATAGATTGTAAGTTATCAAGGGATGTGGAGGATTTAATTACTAATCCAGCCCCTCTCGGCCAGTGTTATTGCGATTAAGGCTGAAATGATTAAGCGGTTATCGGCCAGCGAAGCTCAACGAATCACGCTTATTTCTGGGGAAGACCTCGGTGATAGGTAATTAAGCGTGTTTCTTAGACACTTGCCCTCCCTCTCTGGCAACTTAACTGACGAGACCATTTTAAGAGAACTATTTCTCTAGAGACTCCCTAGGACGGTCCAGGCAATTTTGACAGCCTAGGCTGAGTTGAGTCTAGAAAAAATTGCTCAGCTGGCGGACAAAATTTTAGAAGTGATTCCGTCATCTACTGGGATTGTGTGCCACTGCGCCACCAGCGCCTTCTAATAATGAGTTAGTCCCCATCATTGGTCAATTACAGGCACTCAGCAAGCAGGTAGCGGCTTTGTCTATACGCCATTTGCGATAAAGATCCAGTTCTCGCCGATCTTGCCCTAGACCAAGGCCCGCGACGCCTCACGGCTTGTGCTGGTACCACCGTCGGTGCCAGGGCAAAGCTGTCAAATGTATCCGGATCTGACCAGGAGCACCCTGGTCAGATCCGATTCCGGAAAACCAAGGGAGCAGTCAGCGGTAATGGCGACAGATGACTGCACAATTCACTGGTCGCCACCTGTTTGTCACTGACAAGGTAACCAAATTTAAATTCTTGCTTGACACCGGTTTCGACCTTTCCTGTTTCCCTCGGAAATTTCTGTCGACTCAATGCAAAGTTTCCGATTATACTCTTAGTGCCGCCAATGGCACCAGTATAAAAACATGACAGTCGCACATTTTCATTAAATCTCGGTCTCCGTCGCGAATCCAGATGGAATTTCACTATTGCAGACGTCGAGACAGCTATCATTGGCCCCGATTTTCTGGCCTATTTCAATCTGCTCCCGGTCTGCCGCAACAAACAGTTACGAGATGGTTCTACCGGGCTTTCTGTTCCTGCCACCATCTATAACATAAGTCAACTCTGTGTTAAGGCTGTGGTTTCTGACAATGAATTTGCACACCTGCTGTTAAACTTTCCGGAAATTACCAAACCGCCTGGTCTTCCGAGAGTCGTCAAGCACAACACTCTGCATTATATCAAAACCATAGATGGCCCACCAGTTTCTTGCTGGCCCCGTAGTTTGGCCGCTCAAAAACTGGCAGACGCTAAAAAAGAAATTGAAGAGATGGTGCGCTCTGGTACTGCTAGGCCTTCAGATAGCCCGTGGCCGTCTCCGCTACACTTGACCTTGACAAAGGACAGCACCTAGCGTCCTTGCGGCGATTATCGTAGTCTGAATACCAGGACCATTCCGGATCGTTACCCGGTTATGCATATTCATGACTTTGCCAACAGCCTCAGCAAAGCCACCGTTTTCTGCACCCTTGACCCTGGTAAAGACTTATCATCAAATTCCTGTGGCAGAAGAGGACTTCCCAAGACAGCTATTACCAATCCATTTGGCCTCTTCGAACTCCCATTCATGTCCTTCGGTTTGAGGAATGCGGGTCAAACCTTTCAAACGTTCACCGATGAGGTCACACGGGGTTTGGATTTCTGTTTTCCTTATGTGGACGATATCCTCATCTTCTCTAAGGACGAAGCTCTCCACAAGGACCACCTGCGGACTCTTTTCCAGCGCCTTCATGATTATGGTGTTATTTTGAACCCTTCTAAGTGCAATTTTGGAGTAAGAGAAGCTCGATTTTTGGGTTACGTTGTAACTCCCGATGGCACTCGCCCTCCGCAAGGACGAATCCAATCCCTACTGGATTACTGGATTCGGAGCTTCTGGAGCATTTCGAAGCCTGTAAAGCCAGCCAATCTAGTGCCACGTTATTGCAACACCCGATCATGGATGCATCCCTTGGATTATTTACCGATGCAGCCAGTGTCCATGTTAATGCTTGCCTTCTGCAACAGGTGGACGGTGCCTGGAATCCCCTCGCTCTCTTCAGCAGGAAATTGACTCCTCGGCAAGCTCAGTGGCCTGCTTATTATCGGGAATTGCTGGCGGTGTACGAAAGCTTACAACAATTTCGCCACATTCTCAAAGCGCAACACGTGACTATATATACTGACCATGAGCCACTGCTGTACGCTTTCGTTCAACGTGTGAAAAATTACCTCCACCGCAACTGAACCAGCTATCTTTTAGTAACCAATTTTCAACTGACATTCATTAGTTAGGGGTGAAAATAACGTCGTCGCAGTGACTTTGTCCCGCATCGAGATGATTTCACTCGAAGACGATTTCGCCGCACTAGCTCAGTCTCAAATGTCTGACATAGAGTTGGCGAAAATGCAAGAAGGATCGACTTTGAAATTGGAACAGGTTTTGATCCCGGGCACCAACATCACTCTAATATGTGATACATCAACCGGTCGCCCTCGACCTTACCTCACTTCGCCGTTCCGTCGAGCTGCTTTCGACCGTTGTCATAACCTCAGCCACCCTGGTGCATTCTCTTTCTTTCTATATTATCTTTACGCTTGGTAGCAAGTCGCTACGTATGGCCTAGCATCAACAAAGATTTTCGCGAGGGGGCACGTTGCTGTGTTCAGTGCCAGAGAAGCAAGGTATCGCGGCATGTTAAAGCACCTGTTGGTCGATTTAATCAACCTACCAGTCGATTCCGTCATCTGCACATCGACATCATCAGCCCACTTCCATGTTCTAACGGTTCCAGTTATTGTTTGACCGCTATAGACCATTAACACGGTGGCCGGAGGCTTGGCCGATGGTGACGATAACTGCAGAAGAAGTTTCCGACAAATTAGTGACAGGGTGGATTGCCCGTTTCGGTGTTCCTAGCATCGTCACCACCGATCAGGGGCGTCAGTTTGAGTCGGCGCTATTTCGGCGACTCATGAATTTCTGCGGAACGAAAAGAACCCGCACCACCAGTTACTATCCTTGCGCCACCTAATCAGTCCCGCAGAGACATCTGATTTAATAACGCAACTGAGACGTGTGATGGTGTCGATTCGGCCGGTTCCTACATTTCACCACGACAGGCCTTCGTCTTTTATCTTCGACACTTCTCGAAGATCGTTGCAACCGCCGTACTCCGGACCTCACCGCGTCCTCGATAGAAGGGACAAGACAATTTCGCTTGACGTCGGCGGAAGGACAGTCACCGTCAGCATCGATCGTGTGAAATCTGCGCACAGTGATGCTGATGTCACCGATGGCTTCCGACCCCCAGCTGCTGTGCCACCGACTAGGCATCCCCTGGCTACAGTCCCACGGCAGTTGCCGTCTTCAGTTCCTTCAGACAAACCAACCACCTCCTCGCCCGGCACTCCGTACACGACCTGGTTAGGAAGGTAAGTGCGTTTTAAAGATTTTAGTGATTTTGTTCAATATGCTAATTTTTGTTTTTATATTCGGTTTCTTCACTCCGTTGGGGTTTGGCAGCTTTAGACGCCGCCTATTATCACCGGCTGGCTGTGGCAGTCTCTTTGGACGAGAGTCGCCAAGGAGAGTGTCAAACTTGCCGAAAATATTTGACAGTTTTAGTTACGTAAATTGTCATGTTAGCGATTGCAAATTGTTAGCCCGGTTAGATAAAAAGCTATTTGTAAAAACCACGAAACATTCACGAAGTTCACGAGGCCGTTTTATTGTTCGTTAGGGGAGCGATAAATTCCCCAAACCCCAAATAAAACCCTTAGACGATGGAAAAAACTAAAACCCGTGGGTCTCTTTTCTTTCCATCAGGTGCAGTTTTTTTAAATTTGTAGCACAACCTCTTACTTAAACAGCCCATTCAGGATAATGAATGGCTTAGACCAATGCCATAAGACTAATTGGAAGACGAATGCCCCTTAGAGCATAGGTCAGGTTCAAGTTCAAGCAAGGAGGTTATGTAAATTCAAAATCAAAACATTCGCTTCAAATGTCATCTAAACAGAAATTTAATTGCAATTCAGTCACAAACTACAGCCATATACTTCAATATTTATTATTACTATTTTTATAAGTAATTAATTATTTTCTATACAAAAATTTTGCAACTTTTTTTACAATATCATGGCTGTACGAGTCTGCTTTTTAAAAACTTTTTAGTTCGAGTTGTAGGGTCGTATTCTAGAACTCTACTCAATGCTCAAAAAAGCGCGGGAAAGCTCGATTTAGGCGGGTTAATTTTTTCGGCTTAGAAATTGAATATTTAATAATAATTGTAATTAGGTGGTCAGGAGTGTAGTATTTGTGTAAATACTATTTATTTGATTGTATATATTGTTTTTTGTGTAAATAGTCATCATCATCTGGTGAGTTTTATCATTTTTCCTTTCGCCTAAAATGGACGAGCCCCCTGATCCAGGGGGCACAGTCCCCGCAGTTGGTAGAAACGTGATTATTGCCTCCAATGACTCCAGTATGGACACGGACCATACTGATAACTCTCTAAAAGGAAGAAAACGTATTCGGCAGCGTAAAATTTGCAAACATTGCAATAAGAAAAAACGTAAGCATAAGTCTCAATCGGACAATGGATGTGGTTGTTCAGATAGCGACATTTGCGGTACCAAGTTTAATAGTACTACAGAAGTTTTCTTAACGCCCCCATCATCTTCCCCGGTTCAGCCTGTTGCTGCTCCCATACCTACCTCTTCTACGAATACTAACACTACCCAGAAAGACCAGGATTTGCCAGGCCGCCGATTGTTTGAGCATCAAGATATCTCTCCGTATGTAGTACATGTACAAAGATTAACCACTTCCTTTAATGACGGAACCTCTATACACCCAGTTCACTTTGGCAATTTTCTTAAAAAGAATGGTTTTAAAAACATAATTAATGGTAGTGTGAAAAAGATTGGCAGGAACAGAGTTTCCCTATCCTTCTCAGACTTCCAGAGCGCTAATTTTTTCTTGAATGACACTAGTTTGGTAGCTAACAATTACAAAGCTTTTATACCTACCTTCAGCATTACCAGAATGGGCCTAGTTCGTGGAGTTCCTGCAGACCTAACCCCCGAAGAAGTGAAAGAAAGTATGTCAGTTCCTATTGGTTGTGGAAATATTGTTAAGATAAGACGTTTAAACTATAAGATGACTGTTGACAATCAAACTACGTGGAAACCTTCCCAAACTGTAGTTGTGACCTTTGATGGGCAAGTTTTACCAAAAAGAATATTTATGTTTTATAATGCTCTTCAAGTAGAATTGTACATCTTTCCAACTGTCCAATGCTATAATTGTTGTCGGTATGGACATACTAAATTACAATGTCGTTCTAAGCCTCGATGTTTTAAGTGTGGGCAGGATCACTCAGGTGAATCATGTTCTGTAGATGAAGGTGACGCTCAGTGCTGTCACTGTTCTGGGTCTCATTTAGCTACTAGCAAGTCATGTCCAGAATATGAAAGGCAGAGGCATATAAAAGTGTCTATGGCTCAAAATAGTATTTCTTATTCTGAAGCTTACAAACTTCATCCCGCAGTGACAAAGCCTTATGCTGATATTCTGGCTTCTCCACCTCCTCCACGTAATTCTTTTACTTCCACTTCTCATAGTACTAATCCATCATCTTACAAAAAAACTGTGTTTTTAAAACCTAAAGACCCACCAAAGCAACGAACAGGCTATGATCAGAAAGCTCATAATGAGTTTGCTAAGGAATATAATATGACCAATGAAAATTCTAGAGGAACAATGTTCAATTTTATTAATAATGAGGGCCGTCAGCCTTCCATAGCTGATATTATATTATCTTTGATAAATCTATTATCCCAGTCTAATATGATTGTACCGTCCAACGTTGCTTGCTTAACTCAAAGTTTAAATGAAAACTTTAACATTCACTCCCAACGCAACGGTAATACAGTGGAATTGCCGAAGCATAGTAAATAAAAAATCTGACTTAATATATATTGTAAATAAATTTAATCCTTTTATTATTTCTTTATCTGAGACCTGGCTTAGACCTGAGTTCAGGTTTAAGATCCCAGGCTTTTCCTGTCTTCGCGAAGACAGAACTGATGGGCATGGCGGTGTTGCCTTGCTCATTAGCAATTGTTATCCCTTTTCTTTAATTAATCTTCCTTCTCATAGTGATGACTATTCAGTCATTGCTGCTTCTGTAAATAATATTTCTTTTGTTTCTATTTATGTACCTCATCCAACTACCTTAATATTAAATCAAATTAATAATCTGTTTTCTATTCTTCCCAAACCATGTTTAGTCATGGGTGATTTTAATTGTCAACATCAAGTATGGGGAAGCTCCTTATCAAATTGCTATGGAGATCAAATACTTGACATATTAGACACCAACAATCTTTCCTTATTGAACACTGGAACTCCTACTCGCCTTACTGACCCCAACAACTCTGTTAGTGCTATTGACCTTTCAATATGTTCTCCTAGTCTATCACTTTCCTTAACATGGCAGACCTTGACATCGACCTTTGGTAGTGATCACTTCCCCATAGTCATTACTTTTCCATTTCAGAGTAAAACGAACTTGAAATACAAGTCTAACTACAGATACAACTTACAAGGTGATAAATGGGATCAATTTAAAAAGCTTATTAAATCAAAGGTGTCTACTCTACCCGATATAAACTGCAATAATGTCATAGAAAATTCAAATGCTTTAGCTTTGTTAATTACTCAGTGTGCAGATGTAATTTTCCCTATTAAAAACAGTTATTCAAACCATATCCCCTCCCCTGTCTGGTGGGATGAAGAATGTACCTCAGCTGTTAAAAGGCGTAAAGAGGCTGAAGAACGATATCGATATGGTATGACTATCGAGAACTTTGAGTCGCTCAAGTTAATTATGTCTGAAACAAAAAAGACTCTCAAAGAGAAGAAGTTTCAAAGCTGGCGTAGATTTTGTGATTCCATCAGTCCCAGTACCAACTCTTCTGTTGTATGGAACATGATACGTCGATTTAGATCTGCCTTTAAAGATTCCCCTTTAAGAAACTTACCTCTTGATATTGCTGAACAGTTCATTGATAAATTAGCCCCTCCGATAGCCCAACAACAAATAGTTCTTGGTAAAGTTTTAGTTTCAAATGATGAATCAGGGTTAAGTTTGCCATTTTCGTTGAAAGAATTGAGAGGCGTTTTGTCTAATACTGTAGACTCTGCTCCTGGTAGTGATGGAATTACTTATTCCCTTTTATCTAATTTGGATGATTCTGCCCTTTATTATTATTTACACTTGATTAACACATCCATGTTGACAGGTGAAATTTCGCCATCTTGGAAAAGCCAGATAGTGTTACCAGTTTTGAAACCAAATAAAAATCCAACAGAAAGCTCATCTTACCGTCCCATTGCCTTGTCTTCTGTCTTAATCAAAACTGCTGAAAGTTTAGTGAAAACCCGGTTGGATTGGTATGTTGAACATAACAATTTGTTGCCCAATAATCAGTACGGATTTCGAAAAGGTAGAAGCACCATGGACTGTCTCTCTATATTTACAACAGATATAAGATTAGCTTTTTCGATCGGTAATTCTATTTTAGCTGCCTTTTTAGACATCAGTTCGGCATATGATAATGTTCTTTTTCCAATTTTAAAAACAAAATTAGATTGTTTAAAGGTTCCACCATTATTATCTAACTTCATTATAAATTTATTAAACAATAGAACTATTAATGTTATAAATGATGAATATTCTTTACAGAGGACAATAAATAAAGGTCTTCCGCAAGGTTCTGTTTTGAGTCCCATACTGTACAACATATACACTCATGATTTAGACAGGTATTTAGGTAATGGAGTTTCTATTTTACAATATGCTGACGATGTTCTTTTATATGTTGAATCTAATCTAAGTGACCAAGCCGTGAATGTACTATCAAATAAATTGACATTGTTAAAGTGCTGGTTAGATTCGAATGGTCTAGAGTTATCTGCTAGCAAAAGCTCCATTGTATTTTTCTCAAGGCGTAAAGTTCATCCTGCAATAAATGTTTCTTTTAATAATAACCCAATCCCTGTTGTTGGCCAGGTTAAATATCTTGGTATTCTTTTTGATTGTAAAATGAATGGATCTCCTCATTGTGATTATGTTGTTAATAAATGTGAAAAAGTTCTTAACATGCTTAGATGTTTATGCGGGGTCTGGTGGGGCAGCCATTCGTACTCTTTAAAACTGCTATATAATGCTCTGATTAGGAGTATAATTGACTATGGATCTTTTATGCTGGAGCCATGTGTCTTGTCTAATCTTAAAAAGCTAGATAAGATTCAGTCGAAGGCCCTCAGAATAATAACCGGTGCTATGAAATCAAGTCCGATAAATGCGATGCAAGTGGAGTGCGTTGAACCTCCGCTTGGCCTTCGTCGATAGTTTTTGGCT